ATACATAATATTGTATAAATTGAATGTTTTTTCATGTATTGTATACAGCAAGTTATGTGGCATTGTATAAATCCAAATGTCAATTATGTAATGAGAATTTTACTTGATCTTATTTTTCATGGTTGGTGACTGATCTGGATGTGGACTTTTCAGCACAGTACGTAATTTTGTGTTTGTTTGTTCATGATTTTGTGTTTGTTTGTTCATAATTGTCAATTGTGCCCTTCACACTAAGTACATCTCTGTTCTTACGGAGGGTTTTTTATTAATCAAGTGGGGAGAATGGATTGTGTGCCTTTAATACTTATTAAGAAAACCGTTCCTCCCAGTTATTTTTAATAAGGAAATGCTGATATCTGGTCTTCTAAATACTGTGTATGTGGTTCTCAGCTGTATGATATTTATGTGTTTAAATGAATTGTTATAGTTCTTGCATATTTTACCTTTTTTGTTCTGGCTTTTTCCATAGTTAACCCATGATAGGTGAAGAGTTAACATGAACGGTGCCGGTCTGCTGTAGCAAATTCTTTCATTTCTATAGATGAAAGCATAAGATGGATCGTTAGATTTCCAAGATTTTTCTTAATCACTTGTAACTTTTATCGCTGTAACTAAAATGTATTGGATGTTCACTGTTTATTGTTGTTGATCTGTCCATTTAATCTGTTATGACCTCTTTTGAAGGAGAGATAAACCTATTTGTAGCTGGGACCGGGAAAGAAACTAGGGAAGAGATTAGGGCTATTCAGGTCTTTTTTTGTGTGCATATTTGGTGACCCAAATGTTACACTTCAGTATTCAAAGTTCAAGAGCCTACATATGAATATATTTTCTTTGTGCCCATGTCAAAGTTGCAGAGAAAAATTAGTTAAATGTGTACGTAGGCTTCTTTTGTTTTGTGAATGTTTTTGGAGGGGTTGTCATGAGAGGGAGTGTTTAACACGCTTTTCAGCACAGAGTTTTTAAGACTACACTTTCTCATTCTTGTTTATCTATCTCATTCTCGTTGACCTCCTTTTCATTTTCGTTCGCCTTTCTCAGGCCAAAAGTGTTTGGTCTAAATAAAGTATGACTGACTGATGTCTGAGCTGGCTATTGGGTACTTTTTATTGAGTTGGGGTTTTTTTTCTGTTAGTAGCTTTCCTTCAAATAGTTTGAGCATACAGTGATACCTGTCCAAGAAGACCCCCCCCCCATGGAGGCAGATAAAAGCGGTAATTTTAGTTTTGATTTGGTACGGTTTTACAGTGCTCGCAACTGCATAAGGTCATATGAGCGCCAAGGGGTGGATGTCAACAGAGAAGTAGAAACGGGGAATCAGGCTTACTCTGCTCACCTCTCTAGCTTCAACAGCACAAAGTCTGCTTCAACTTTAAAGGCACCCCGGAAATAACAGTTCACAAGAGAGTTACAAACATACGAAAGAAGTAGAGGAAAAAATGACGATACTAAGGATGAGGAAAGAAAATGCAGCAGTTCTCCCTATGTTGTTCCGGCACAGTATGAGCATGACATTGATAAATCAGCCCATTTACAATTCTACTGTGCATAAGAACATGTTAATATCCCCCCTTTGGGAATGGCCTTAAGACACTTTAGTCTGTAGCACTGCCCTGGTGGGGGGTGGAATTTTAGGCTCATGGTCCTCTGTGACAGTGTAAATCAGGATATAGGAAAACAACCCAAGGGGGAAAGTGGTCGTTTGTACAGGTGATTGTCTTAGACAGGTTGTCGTTAGAGCAGTACAGATGATTGTCTTAGACAGGTGGTTGTTAGAGCAGTACAGAGCAGTACAGATGATTGTCTTAGACAGATGGTCATGAGAGCAGTACAGGTGATTGTCTTAGACAGGTGGTCGTTAGAGCAGTACAGATGATTGTCTTAGACAGGTGGTTGTTAGAGCAGTACAGAGCAGTACAGATGATTGTCTTAGACAGATGGTCATGAGAGCAGTACAGGTGATTGTCTTAGACAGGTGGTCGTTAGAGCAGTACAGATGATTGTCTTAGACAGGTGGTTGTTAGAGCAGTACAGGTGATTGTCTTAGACAGGTGGTCGTTAGAGCAGTACAGGTGATTGTCTTAGACAGTTGGTCGTTAGAGCAGTACAGATGATAGTCTTAGACAGGTGGTCGTTAGAGCAGTACAAATGATTGTTCTAGACAGGTGGTCGTTGGCGCAGGTTCCACTGTAATTATTTATTTATTTATGATTCTTTTTTGAGTATCCTCTTCAAATATATCTATTTTACAGCCTGATCTAAGCATGATTTGTTTTGAGTTACAGTATCAATGTTTGATCAATTGTTTTGTTTTTGCTTCTTTGTGGATTTAAAATAAATTTTTTTTCTTCCCTTTTGCAGCATTTCTGGGGTCCAGGTAAGATATTCTTTTCAAAATATATATGTATGTAGATAGATGTAGTATTATTTCTCTCAGTGTTTGATGTGCTGTGACATGTTTTTGTGCTTCCTGAAATTTAATTTGTCATAGCAGGAAGATCTGGGATTGTGCCAAAACGGAATTTTTTTCCTTTCTGTCAATTTTTTCCTCTAAGGCTCTTTCTTTTTCTTTACCCTGCTTAACTGATGGTAACTTTATTTTCTGTTAGAGCTCTTCATCAAAACTGTATCCCAAGATTTAGCTTTCATTTAACATTTTTACTCCGAACTTGAAAAAGATAATAAAAGTAAAAGTAGGCTTATTCTTGATTACATGTGTATAAACTGTCGGGCACTAATAAAACCCCCTCACCTCCTTTGCCCCCCTCCACTGGGCTCCTGACTCTTTCTGCAGCCTTTCTACTGCTACTCCTTGGCTCCTCCTAACTGCTGTCTTTCTGCCACACCCCTGATCTTCTGGTAGGAAAGATCTACACCTGGCCTTCTCGGACAAGGGTGAAAAATCTCGGAGGGCCCGTGTGCAAGTTGTGCACGTTAAAGATCCCTTGGTGGTCTAAAATCGATAAGAGTAGGCTTCGGCTGCCACCCAAGCAAAATTCAAAATTTCCTACCAACTGAAAATATTAGGTGTGTCCAGCGCGCTCATATGACCTTATGCAGTTGCGAGCGCCGTAAAACACTTTACAAAAACAACAAACAAAACAAACAAATAAAACGAACAGGGAAAACTCCAAATCAGGGATAGCTCGTACTATTTGCCATCCCCTGACTAGACCACTATATTTTCTTTGTATTGGTTGGCCACACTGTTTTCTCAAACACCCATACAGATATGTCAAACAGCTCGTCTCGAAAGACCAAATCAGTTTTTCCTTACAATTCTCATTAATTCAAATAATAATAATAATTATGTGGATCATTTCTTTAGGGCCCACTCCCGTGTGAACACAGCTCTAGGCGCTTTACATAAATGCGTGTACGCACAATATTTACACACACATACACACACACACACACAAACACTCACTCACGCACACATTACACGCACACTCGTGCACTCACATGCCCGTCAAACACACACACACACACACACATACAGAGACACACACATCTACTGTACTTGCTTATTACATGCTCACACTTTCACATTGTTACGAAATGAGCACATACAAATACACAATTAAATAATATACACAATGCAATTCGCAAAATACATAAATGGATACATAGTCATTTACATAACATTGTACCAAACATGAATCTGCTGGTATAAATTACCCTGTGGGGCTTGAAGCAAAACAATGCACCCCTTTTCATCGAGAGTTTTAGGCTTCCTGAGCCCGCCAGGCTTGCCCTGGTATATTGTGTTGCATACATGTACACTGCTGGTATTGAGACACATGGGGTTACATATACATATACCCACCAGGGTCTCCCCCGCACGGCGTGATGAATACACTGCTGGTACTGATACGCATCATCGCACATTACTTGTGGTGTAGTGTTAGTTGTAAGGCACAAAAACTTCCTGGAATCTATTCATGTGAGAGTGGGTGCTGGGTGGTGGGGTTCAATCAAAGATCGATGGTGTGGTTTTGCATGGAGCCTTATGGTGTGTGTGTGTGTGTGTGTGTGTGCGCGTGGTTGTTTGAAAATGAACGTTTGGATCGGGAAGAGATCACCCAAGGGGGATGGGTGGCGTGCTGTGACTGGTGTTGGTTTGAATGGTTATGATCGGGATCTGCTAATAGAGCAATTTTTTAAATTTTTTTTGGGGGGGTGTCAAAAGACACATTAGTAACACTCTTCCTTTCTCATGCTTGGATACCAAACAAGGCGCACCATACATCACCCATCCAATCACGTTATCAATACTTGGTACTTTTCATGATGGAAGAGAAGAGAAAACACAGTTATCTGACCGTATATTCGAATTTTCCATCAATATCGTTTTACCCAAATTAAGGATGCGTAAAACACATTTGTCAATCCTCTACATGTTTGACTTATCAGTGCCCGACAGCAGCTATATGGTTGTTTGACCTGAGATCTCCATGTGTTTTGTTTGTGGTTGGTTGGCGGGTGCTCAGGTGTGGTTTGCTCCTTCTTTCCTATAAAAAATATCATCCTGATCTCTCCTTCTTTTTTGTGTTTGTTTATCTCGTGTAACACCTCTAATTTTCGGCACTTATTTGACCTTATTGTGTTGCAAGTGCCGTAAAACTCGTACTAAAACTAAACTGTTTTATTTTTTTATTCTATTATAGTTGCCAACTGGGGTTTGCCTCTTGCCGCCCTCGGTGACCTGAAGAAGGATCCTGAAATCATCAGTGGAAAAATGACGATGGGTAAGTCTTATTGAAGAAATGTTGTCTCATGATTGAAATATGTGTGTAGAGTCTAGATATAATATAGTGAAACTCCCTCGCAAACTTCACGGGATGAGAGAATTTCTTCATGTAGAGTAGATTTGTAGGCCTATTTAGAGAAATTGTAATGCATAGAATTTCAGAGGGGAAAATATGGGGATTTTAAATCTTTAATTGTAACAGGAATTTTGCATTAATAAATTGTTTCTTTTTTTAAAAAAATTAATTAATCACTGGCAAAATGTGTGGAAGAGTTTTTATTGTCTTTTATAAATGTGCCTTCTTACACATTATTTTTTTTATGAACATAGTTGAGTTTAGTTCCTTTGATACTGTTTTATATGATAGGAGATAAATAAATTTGTAATAGAGATCATATGTCGCTTATTTTCACGTGTCTTTGCAGAGGTTATTTCGTAAAACGTGAAGTGACTTTAGGTGACTTCCAAATGTATGTATCTCTTTTTTTTTAAATGTTCAAATGTATGTATCTTTTTTTTCTTCTTTTTTTCAGCACTTTCAATCTACTCTCTTCTCTTCATGAGATTCGCTTGGAAAGTTATCCCAAGGAACTTGTTGCTCATGTCTTGCCATATAACCAACGAAGTTGCTCAGCTGACTCAGGGTGCCAGGTTTATCAATTATCAGTAAGTTGAAAGATGTATGTGAGGGTGGTTGGAGGGCACCACTGGTAGGTCCTACTTCTTTACTTTCCCTCAGTTGGTTCGGTCTGTCTGTCTGTCATATTTTTCCCAAGCTCTAAATGACCATTATTGTGTCAATGTGTTTGTCTTTACTCCAACCTTTCAGTGTTAGAAGGGGTTTAAAACCTGTACAATTACCTGGAGGAATTGGTCAGGCTACTTTTATACATGGTGGGTAAGCTGCCACTGTTGCACAGTTGGTTACAAATTAACTTGACGGTTGACTCTGAAGTTTCAGGTTTTATCCTGAAGCAGGTTTGAATTTTTACACCTCTTGGCTTGTTTCCCCTTTTCCTTGAGCCTGTCCAAGGATTAAGTTTTTGGGGGGGTTTTTAAGAAAGACCTTCTTCATTATGCTTTAAATGAAAAAAAAAATCCTATCGGTTGAGGAGTGGTAAGTTCTTGAGTCTTAGCCTCACTGTTTGACGTGGGATTTCTTCTACTTCTTCAGTGCCTGAGATTATGATGTGACTGCTACATTAGAAATCTAAGTGAAATGATTCCTCAAGTAACAGATGTTACTTATTTGTTGCCCTCTCTTTATTATAAATGTGTGTTTTGTTTTAGCTACCGTTCCCACGTCCTGTCCTTTTTTTTTTTTTAGGGGGGGTTGAATCGTATTGCTGATTTTGAAATGCTGTTGATAGTGTGGATCAGCCCCCGGCACTAAAATTTTGTTAGGAATTTTTTTTACTAATGAGTAACTTCTCGCTATCCACAAATTGAGATGGCCAAAAGTTCGACACTAGGGTTAAATTGGTAGATTTTTCTATTGATGCCGTGTTCTTTTTTATGCACAACATGCTTTTTATTATACTTATAAATTGTAAAAACTTCTCCTATAAGCCTTATGCATCTATTTCCATAGGACTAGAATCGGAGAAGAAGTAACTCATTTTGTCAGCAGGCTATACTTATTGTTGGAGCCGTGTACATGAACACAGATCCACTCTGATTTCCTCATTGTGTGGGAATGTTTCCTCAGCTACGTGATGTCGGAGGAGGACCGCAAGAAGTACCACGTCAAGTTGGTGGACGAGGAGCTGCACAAGCACCCAGAGGAGTACCCGGAGGTCAAGGCCATCGCTCACGCTCCCCCGTACTCGGAGCAGGAGATCAAGGCGGAGGTGGAGGACTTCGACAAGCACTACAAGGTCAAGAAAGACACCAGCATCAAGACAGCCGTCTGAGTTGTGACACACAATCTGTGATCTTGTTGAACTTGTTGTTACCGAATGCATGCTCCCCATTTTGTAAGCGGATAATCATAAAAGATCACATCTCGTGGCCCTATTACTCGGATGTTCTGTGTAAGGAAAATTATTGAGTACCTGCAGATATACCCCTATGGTTTGCACTGAGGAAACTGCAATTTTTCTTGGCTTTGGTGCTGAAATTACACCCATTTTATTTTTTTTGGAACACATGGAAAGTCTCATTATTGCTACTGCAAGCTTTTTTCTTTTCTTGAGTTCGGGTATATATTGATGAAAACTTTTTTTTGTGGGGTTTTTTAAAAGACAAGTTTGGCCACACTTGTTGCGAGACCTGTGATTTGCACTAATTCTCTTTACTTGTTTTCCCATCTCGGTTTTTCTCCCCATTCCCCTGGCTTTGTGTGATCACACTGAAGCACTCAGTTGTGGGTAATGGGAGGGAAATTCTTTTATTACGTCTGTTAGTATGCACATTGTAGAGGTTTTCTTTTTTAGGTTATAGAAGTGGACAGTATGCCTTTTGTGCATATATGTGAGGGGAAAATGAGTTGTGTTTTGAGTTTTACAAATAGTTTGTAGGGAAAATCTCTAATTACCTCTCTCTATATATATAATTATTACAAGTATGCAAATTGTATGGATTTTTTTTTAAAGAGATAGAAGTGGACAGTATGCCTCCTGAGCATATGTGTAAGGGAATGTGAGTTGTGTTTTGAGTTTTATGAATAGTTGATAGTTTTTTTTCCTGTGCCTTGTGATTGGGTTTTAGCTGTCTGACTGGTACAACATTCTGTGTTTTCCAAGATCTGTTTTTGTGTACGAAGAGACAGTTACATCAGAGGCTCAGTAGTGACCGGCATGAATTACTGCAAAAGCTTTTCTTAACTTGTTCCTCCTTACTTATAGTGGTAGATCATTACTCATGGCTGTTGGCCTCTTTCCCAGTAAGTCACTCAGGCGAGGCTTCCCTCAATGTATCAGCTGCATCAAACATGCTTCTGGTTTGTGGGAACATCTCTTCATCTTGTTGCTACCTTGCTTCTTTTAATCCTAGGTTTACTTGTCTGTACCACCTCCCCTCCCCCCAAGCCGCCCGATACATGGGCCTCTGTAGTGGGGAACTGTTTACACATTGTCTTTGAATGTAGAAGGATTTTATAGAGAACTTCTTTTTTTTTTTTTTTTTGCTGGGGTGCTGGGTCTCAGTCTTATTGAGCACAATTTGACTCTTTACACCGACAGGCATGGACAATGCAACCTGCCTCTATATAATCGAAACTGTATCAATGGAGATGTAGGCTTTACAGGAAATCAATGTATTGATGCGCTTCGCAATATATTTATAATGTGTGTGAAAGATAACTTTTTCTGATAATAGTAATAGTAGTTTGGCAGTCATTTGTGTAGCCATGTAAGAACATCCACTTTCTTGTACTACGGTAGTAAAAAGTAAGGCAATGGTCCAGTATAAAAATCTTTCCCTGCCACGGCCACCACCACATCTTGAATTCTTCAGAATCAGATAACTGGATTCAAACAATCTGACATTGCTTTCAAATGGTCTATTCATTGAACTAAGAAAGAAAAACATTGTTGTTTTTGTAAATGCTGCTCGTTTTACTGGACTGCCATTGTCTCTAGGTTGAAATGGTGAGCAAGGGAAAGTGTTTGTAGTGTAAAAACTTGAAAAGATTTTCTTTTTCCTAATCTCAGTATTTGTTGTGGTCCGAACGGATCCTACTGGCCCTTATCCTGGGCAGGGACAATGTGAGTTTGTCGGGTTTCCTTGGGGAGTTGTTGGAGTTGGATGTAATTGTCTAGATGAGTGGGTGATTCTATTATAATGAATCGATCTCTCCTCCTTTTCTTTGTATGTTACAGTACTCTGTAGTAACATATAAAGCGCTTATATGACCTATTTGTGTTGCAAGTGCCGCTAAACTCTTACTTAAACAAAAACTAAAGTGTCTAGTTGAACTGATCAGGAATACCCTAGGACTGAGATCTCTGTGGCATATGCTTTCAGTATTTCCCAGCCCTTGTGTAGTCAATATTCTGATTTCTACAACCCCCCCCCTCTCAGTTGGATGCCGTATACATCCTCTGTGGCTGTACTCCTCTGTGGTTCTGTAGGGCCTGGCCAGAGAATTTGGCTAAACTCACTGTCTGTGCTGTAGTTTTAATGATTAGGTTTTTCCCCATTGCAGGTAGACGAGGTGAATTTGATCACCTGTGGAGAAGTTATATTTTACTCTACCTCCATCCATCTTCTTGGGTGCTGCATTTGTCTGAGCCTTAGCCCTGAAAAGCAGGGTCGACGCAGCCCACCTCCTGATGTGTGATAACCTAAATTGTGTCTCTAAATTGGCGTGTGAAACATTTGCAATTGGCAAACAGCAGTTGTTTGAGTCATCCCATCTTGCGGAATGTTATCAGCACCAGTAGTTCGGTGTTCTTCCTCTCCCCTTCTCAAGAACAGATTTATTTCATGTTACTTTCCCCTTTGATCAAACCTAAAACAGATTGGATATTAATTTAGAACAAAAGAAAAGGGGCCCAATGTAACTCACCTTTTTCTTGTTCATGTTCTGGCGCCTAAGTCAAGATATTTACTCAGTTTTAACAAAACAGAATTAATTATACTTCTTGTACCAGTATATATATATCATGTGTTGTTTTTTTTTGCTAGTATTAATTAACACGGTCTTGTTGAAGGTTTTATTCACAGTTACAGCTTGAAGCAAGCCAAATGCATGCAAAGACACAGGGTGCCATTATAACAGTGTCTGAATCTGAAACTTTTTAATGTATTGTTAAGATATTGTCATGGCTATTTTGGGTTATGAGAAGGAAAAATATTAGTTGAGACCAGTCCACCCATTTCCTCCTACGTATCTCATTTGCCAGGAGCAGCCCGGTGCTATAAATAAGTGAATATTTTGTTGTCTCTAGTTGAAGAGTGAGCCTCTAGGAGGTGGATTGGCCAAGGCGTCAACTTAAAAAAAAAAAATGTTGGATCTCAAATGTTTTGTTTTGTCCAGAAGTGTGCTTTTTTGTGATGTGTCAGCGATGAGAAGGAAACAAGTAGGCACTCTTAGTCTTACTATTGAAAATAATGAAATAATGACAGGACAAGGAGTCATAGTCATAGTGTTTAATGTAGCCTACCTGTAGACCCATGCACAAATTAATGACAAAAGCCAGTGCGAGAATGGATCTTGTATGTCTTTGTTATAGAGCATTACTAAACTCTCTATTATAATACATTTTAACTTCTTGTGTTTTTTTCCTTGTTTTTTTTTGGACATGATATATATATATTTCTTCTATTTGTCCATAACTGGGAAAAAAGAAAGATAGAGTCTCCTGGTTTGTAAATCTCCATGGTTGACCTCTATACATGTTAAGTGTAAGAAGATCTGACAATTCTGAAACAATACCTCGAAGAAACGACAGTCCCAAGCACAAGGGACAGCAGTGTGTACATTCTGCGTTGGATATTATTAAAGACCTGTTGCCTGTCAGAGAACAATCAAGTGGTCTTGAGTTCTGTGTTTTCTTCTCCCCCACATTCGCTTCTTTGCTCTGTCCAAACTGCAAGGTCATACTCTGTGGGTGGTTGGAGGATGCCACTCGTACTTTACTTGTAGTTCCTATGTCTTTACTCACCCTCTGTTGTTTTTTTTCTGTCACTGTCCGTCTTACTTTTCCCCAGCACTAACCATTCTCATATATGTGGATAGATATGCTTCTCATTACTCAAACAAAGTCATACTCTTGTGGGTATGAAACTCTACTTTTACTCTTCAGTTGTCCACAAAATTTTTGGAAACTTTCAACTCTTTCCTTTGTACAGATGAGGACAATATAACAAAAGTTGGTGCACCCACCAACCACCCTCTTCTGCTGTCATAATAATATAAGAAGATGGCTGAGATTTTGATTAGTTTTTAGCCTAAGCTGGTTCTCTCCCTGTAGGCACCAAGTACTACTAGGCCCATTTGGCGGGAATCGAACTCGGGTCTCCTGCGTGCGCCATACGACTTCACCCAACGCAGACATCAGTGAAAAAGAAGTGCAAAGTATCAAAATAAAAAAATACTACAACTCATTCACTGGCACAATTCTCTTTTCTTAAAAAAATGCTCCATGTGCATTACAAATTAGGGTCTACAGTCCAAGACACATCACATTTTAACTTCTATGGCAAATATGTCATACAGTAGGCCAGGCAATAATAATGCAAGTAGTCTTTAATTTGTTTTGAAATGTTTTACAGCACTCGCAACTTCTGAAGGCCATATTGGCATATGAGCATGCAGGACATTTTTCAGTTTTGAAGGAATTTTGAATTTTGCACCGGTGGCGGCTGAAGCCTACTCTTTTATTATCGATTTTAGGACCAGCAAGGGATCTTTAACGTGCCCAACTGAACTTGCACACAGGATCTCTGAGATTTTTCACCCTTGTCCGAGAAGGTAAGGTGTATAGGTCTTTCCGACCAGAAGATCAGGGGTGTGGCTGAAAGACAACAGTAAGAAGGAACCAAGGAATAACAGTAGAAAGGCTGCAGAAAGAGTCGGGAGCCCAGAGGGGGTGGGGGCAGACAGTAGATAGAACATTGCAAGAGAGAAGGAAAGGAGATGAAAGAAGAAAATTTTCCGTCGCTATCCAGATTCGAACCCGGGGCCTATCAAATGAGAACGCGAACACTAACCTCTAGACCACGAGAGCCCTCAAGAAGAGTTCAGTAGAGTCTTACGCCTACTTTAAAACGTAGAATGCAACAACAAAAAAAACCTTGCTCAGTCACAATAAAAATAAGAAGTAAATGATGGCATTTATAGACAGCGCAGGCCACATGGGGTCATCCAAGCATTATCTTGTGTTGTGTCGTAGGGTGGATAATAATCTGCCTCTTCCACTTCCACCAGCTTTGCTGATTCTATCATGACGTAATTTCTGATGGGAAATATCTGGCCTCCTACTCCTAAGATAAATTACCTTAGTAATAGCGTCAATAGCAGTGTTGAACATTTTATTTTTAGTCAAGCATGACACTTGGTCAGTGGTGGAGATTGCAAGAGGGGTGTAAAATGATTACATGCATATTCTGTGCATGTCAAAGGAACTTGAGTTCAACACAATTGGATTCCGTTATGATCCTTGAATTTGACTTCAGTAGACCTGAATGGGCATTTTGTTAGTTCCAGCATCATGCTGAAAGAAACAGGTTAAGGCAGAACCAGCGTAGGCCTACATGTATCATGTCATGTACAACATTTTTTAAAAAGGGGGGGGCGGGGGGTGTTGCCGATTAACTTGTGGTGACAGTCCATTTGACGGTCTACCGCGACATTTCTGTTCTACCTGACGGTCTACCTCAAGACCAGTCTGACAGCTGTTCCACCCGACAACGGCTAAGGGTTCAGTTAAAGTGAGAGTGGTAGACTGTTGTGCTACGGTGCGGGCTAGAACTACTAGTACTAGAGTTGACTTTTCAATGAAAATTAACCTACATCAGATAAAAATCTAAAGTGAAGTGTGATAATATTTCTCAAATACAAGTTGAATCCTACATCAACATGTATTTTGAGCAGGCAGTGAAAGATTATTACAACGTGACCAATGGAAGAGCCTACCTAGTCCTTACACAGGTGTCCTGAGGTAAGGACCTGGTTGGAAGACCTTCAATGGTACTGGTAGGCTTCGAGTGGTACATTTGTACATTAGACTATTCCTTCTCGTTCTTTCATATCTCTATAAATGACCACTGCCTAGTCCATGGATCTCTTATAAACTCCAGCACTTGCAACACAATAAGGCCATATTATAAGTGCCGAAGATTTAGAGGTATCACAAGAGTCACAAACACACAAAAAAAAGGAGAGATAAGGACGATAGATGTGTGATAGGAAAGAAGGAGCAAACCAGACCAAAGCACCCATCAACCGCCCACGCACTATGTTTGTGAAAACCATCAGACTGAGGTAAACAATGGGCCTTCACCTCAGGCACACACAGCACATTTGCTCATATTAAATTTTTTTAACCATGTACCAAGTATGAACAGTAGGATGAAACTTCTAAAACAACAAAAGCACTTGAAAACAAGAAGAAACAGACAAAAATGATCAGACACAACTTTATTCTTTAAACATAATTACAGCACCGCATCGCAGTCTCTTTATCTTCCCTTCAGTAAAATTCCTTTGAGAATTGGCAATGCATTAGGATAAATATTCCAAGACAAACTTTTAAATCGCTTGCCATAAAAACTGAACAGCTTCAATCTGGAAAATAACGACATTTTTTCCCCCTGCCTTTCTAAAAGACGTTGCAGACAAAACATCTAATAGCCATTAGCAACGTCAAAACTGACGTTTACCAGAACAGTGGACATTGTCTCCTGGCTCCATCATCCCTGCACACAATGGTGTGTGTTGTGGACTGCCTACCTCATGTCTCGCAAGACGCAAAATGAAATAAAATAAAAATCACAACTTTCAAAAAATGCATACGCCCATCCACTCCATATCAAAACAACTCTACTCCTCTGGAAACTCTCCTCAGTTATACTGTACATTCCAATGGTCAATAGACACTCACAGCAAGTTATTAACACAATTCATCACCCATACAAAGGAAATTCTTTCGCTTCAGATGCAGTGACAAAACACAAAAAACAAATCAGTATGCAACAAATGGAAAAATAATGTACACATTGGCCAAAAGCTCAAGTTATAATGCAATAGTCCAAACATGATGTACTCAAAGGAATAATACTAACATTATCTTTATGTGGGTGGTCGGAGGACGTTATTGGTTGCTTCTTGTCTTTGCCTTTGTTGTCTGCCTAACCTTTTTTCCCCTTCACCAAATGACCATTGTGTCGCTATGTTTCTTTTAATTCAAGCAAACGTCGGTCTGTCTGTCTATCCTAGGCTAGACGGTAGTAATACCTTTGAGTACAAAATCTTTGGCAAAACCCCATCCCCCCCCAAAATTCAGGCTGATTCAGTGGATGGAGAGAGCATCATGCTTTAGTAAATGCAACATGTGAATATAAATCAAATACAATGAGCAATGTTTACAACAACATTCGCACTCAATGACACGCAAGCACAAAACAAGACACCATTACACACACGACTTGGGTGCCACACAATCCCTGATCAGTTCACGCATAATTATAGCACACTTCAGCCACTCGCCCAAGCCGCAGCTGTGTTGTTAAGAATTGCTGTTAGATTCACAGGACAAAACCATTTATCTTTCAATTAAAAGTAATAAAAAAATTCAACATAGAGCATAATGTGTGGCCAGCACAACTTTCTAATCCTAACGCCCTTGGTACTGAACTGAAAGACATTGTGCGGTAACAAGTTATAGTCTGAAAATGGCTGGGAATACAAACTTACTAATCAACTGTCTCTAGATCATCATGTCTTGACCCTGCTGAGTACTCCGAGACGGGAGAGAAAGAAACAAGGTACCAGCAGCACCCAAGTCTGCATCACCAGATATCCGGCCACCGACGACACGAATTCACTAATCACTCAGCACACCGCCAACACTTGTCTAACAATGTGCAGCCTCTACTCTCCTTAGAAAGAAAAAATGGTCCTACTTGGATGTGTGCTTGACAACAAAGTCTGTGCTGCTCTGTCAAAACACACACTCTTCTTCTTCTTCTTCTCGATCGCATCACACTTGAAGTCCGGTATCTGTCATAAATTGGGCCGTCCTGCTCAGTTCATCTGGCGGCCCGTATAGCTTCTCTTGTAGCGTCAGTGGGGTTGGCCACGTTTCCTGTCTCAGGGCCCTGTGTGTCTTAAAAAACCCACACACTGACTGTTCGGATTGAAAGGGTACATTCTAGGAAAAACCCAGCTGGAGAGCACAGTTGATGAGCTCAAGTACAAGCCCAATCAAACTTGTGTGACACGGAGTAAAGATGTACAGCTATTACAGAAAAAGAACAAAGTCCTCTTGCGTGTACAACCAGGTCCTGTCATCACACATAAAGCAGACCTACAGAACCCCCCCGGGGCGGTGCCACTGACTTAAGTGTCTTTAGGCCATTCCCAAAGGGGGCACCTTTCTCGTTCAAGCATAGTAAAATTGTAAATGGGCTGATTCATGTCACCCTCACAACTGTGCCTGATCTACAACAGGGAATTGCTGCTTTTTCTTTCCTGATCCTTACTATTGTCATTTCCCTCTACTTCTTTTGTATGTTTGTCACTCTCTTGTGACCCGCTATTTTGGGGTGCCTTGATAGTTGAAGCAGACCTTGTGCTGTTGAAGCTAGAGAGGTGAGCAGTCTAAGTCTGATTCTCTGTAAAGACTTCTCTGTTGACACTCACCCCTTGGCGCTCATATGACCTTATAATGCAGTTGCGAGCGCCGTAAAACCCTCTACTATAAAAAAATAAAAAAGACCTACAGAACTACACAACGTCAGTTATCCAAGTCGGTCATCTATAGACAGGTCACATTCCCCTTAGCTCTCAGTAAGCCATATACACTGAACCAAAACCGTTTTGGCAATACGATATACACAATTAAAGGCCCATCCTCATAAAAATGCAAGACAAATCCTTGGGATTGGGAGGGTGAAAAGGGGAAATCACAATTATATACAATAAAGTATACAGCTACAGGTGACCTGAAGGGCAACAATGTTCAAACCAAATGACTAATCAGCATTGCTGTATGATGGAATCAATATGTTCATTATATGATACTGCAAATGCAAAATGTCAACTGCAAAGTCTGCATGTAAAATATACACTGCATGAAAAACAGTATGTCAAGAAAACATCAGCCACTGAGAACACCCACGAAGGTACTCACTCACTTTTAAAAACACATGTCAAGACCTCTTAAAAACAAAACCAAAAACAAATACGATGAATCAAACATAGGAACTACAATTCTTGACCAAGTCCCACAAGGAACAATGTACAAGTGTTAAAAAAACCAACAAATCAACCAAACAGCCAAAACCTAACAGCAGCAGCAGCACACGCGTTGAGACACTCATTCGTTCACGTCGTCGCAGCTCACTCGGCCTCTACTTGCATCCACACAGCTCCAACACTGTTTTATGATACATCTGTGGAAGAACAACAAGACAACGGCTCAAGCCAAAGAAAGGGGAAAGAAAACAACGATAGTACAAGTACACAAACCCCACAAACATTGTGTTTGCAACACCTCCCACAGCCCATATAAGGGGATACCCCTGGCTCACACTTCACCTCCCACAGCCCATATAAGGGGATACCCCTGGCTCACACTTCACCTCCCACAGCCCATATAAGGGGATACCCCTCGCTCACACTTCACCTCCCACAGCCCATAAAAGGGGATACCCCTGGCTCACACTTCACCTCCCACAGCCCATAAAAGGGGATACCCCTGGCTCACACTTCGCCTCCCACTGCCCATATAAGGGGATACCCCTCGCTCACACTTCACCTCCCACTGCCCTCAACAAGGATTCAAAATTATTTTTTCAGAGCCTTCCCTTGCAAAAATTAGAGGAAGAGAAAGGGTGTGTGTGTGTTGGGGTGTGTGTGTGTGTGTTGGGGGGACACCTCCAACAATTCAAAACTCAAGTTTTAATGTTTATGTGATGAAGCTCCATTGGTTTGAATAGTCTGAACAATGGCCAGGCAATCCTACACAGCTGAAAGGTGTTAAATGAGCTATGACAGAGGTGATTCACTTGGAACAAAAAGGATTAGCCGTGATGTGACCTCACTAAAGTTAATGACAATTTGCCTACATTCTACTCACAAATTCCATCAAAATAAAAAGAACTACATTTTTTCTTAAAAATGTGAATTCTAAAACAAGAACTCCCTCTAAAGACGGAATTTTCCAAATGAATCTGGCAACATTCTAAGCACGGACAAAGTGACAAGGGAGAGGCAGCCAGACACACCAAGAGTAGTTTTATACGCGCCCCACTACAGGCCAGTAATGCATTTTATCAAAACACTTATTCACTACTTTGCATTTTTTTTTAAAACAAAAAGACACCCTAACCTGGCGGGCAGTAAGTAGGCTAGCACTGATTATCATGCCCTTTAAAATCTTTAACTCACTAACTACTGGCCCCTTTCACAAATCACTAGCGCTGAGTACTGGCATTTTGGGGGGTATTTCAAAACACCACAACTCTCAGAATTACCCTATTGTAATTATTTTTTGACACAGTTAAGTAACTTTCAAACTTAATCTATTGCAAAAAATTAAGTTCTCTATTAATTCTTATGATTGTTTCAAAATTGGAATGAATTTGATTTTTCAAAAAATTTCCAGAGACATGACAGATAGAATGAAATTCACAACAACAACAAAAATAAAAGTTCAAAGTGTTCTGTTTTGATTTGTATCGATGTGTGAGTGTTTGGTGAAAATATAAAAGCTGGTCTGTGCGTTTATTCAGACCCATACACTGAATTACATGAGACAGATGTAGGGAACGAAGTTGTGATTCCGTCGCGCGAACAACAACAGCACTAGTGCTAGATCTAGCCCTAAAACTACGACTCAGGCCGTGTTCGGGTACATATCCAGGGTCCTAACAATCAGACACATCATATCCTGAGTCACTAGAACTAGCAAAACGTACAGAAGTATCGAAAACAGTGAAATTATGTGGTTCTTGTTCCTGCAACCGTTACTTCAACGCAACTGTCGGATTACTATCATTTGTATAGAAAAAACAAAGCGCGAGTTCCGGTCAGGTCAACCCCAGATGAGGTGACTGTCCTTCACCTTCAATTGCTTAAAAAGTTACCTCGAAACTTCCGCCAAACTCGGCACAAAACGAAACAAGAGGCAAAACTAGCACTGGAGTCCGTTCCCATACATGTGACGGGAGCACAAGACATGGAACAAAACCGCAGTCCATCCCATCGGGGGTACGGGATCCGTACCTGCGCACCGACCGTCCACCCCGTACCCGTGACGGAATCCGTAGTCAGTGAGTTAATAGTGCATGCAATTTTTTCTTATTCCTACCACTTCACCACAGTAAAAGAAAAAAAAATCAAAATATGTAGCAATGCCAATGAAAATTTAAATTTTCACTTTTGCCCCCTTTTTTTTGGTACCTAAGAAAGAATTTTCAATTCTGATAATTATACTTCTTGAATTTTGAGAAATGGTTCATAAATAAAAAAGTTATGGGGTTGTAAAGGTCGGCAAAATATGGATGACCCACATATAGGAAAATACTCCTAAAAAGTGGACCACGCAGTAGCAGATTCTGTAAGAAAATCGACGATATCTCGGTAACTAATCCAAATGTTGGAGAGAAACTTGGCTACCCGATGTGTTTTTGAGTGTAGAAATCATTTCTGCAGTCAGATTTACTACCAATTTCGTAGTTATTTTGTTATAATTAAAATTGTGGTGTACATATTACGATTTTGCGACAAAGGGGTGTCGGGATGAGTCCATTTTATTTATAGCATCGTATCACAACATGGGATCTTTAAGAATATATGTCGGCAGCGTGACTAAATAATTGCAAAGCTTTTTATGATGACTTTAGACCATGCCGACCGTAAAAGATAAGTTAATTCAATCTAGCATGCCGTACAATTAAAAATTCTTTTTCCCCGTTGAGACGCGAACACCCCGAGACGAGATAACCTCGCCTCGGAATACCCCCATTGCGATGTTACAGGGGAATAGAGAGAAAAACAACCGGATGCGCGCGCCCGCCATTGCCCTATTTCAAGTGACCAATGAACGGGCCCGGAATAGTCATGCGGGGATTTGTAGAACACAGACATTTGCCACGGGAGTGAGGGGAAAATGGCCGGTCTCCGTGCGAAGCCGCTTTGGATAGGGGGGTAGTCGTAGATTTACGATCGGGTCTAAACAACTACTTGACACAGAACTCTCAAATTTGAGCACACTATAGAGGATAGATAGATCTATTACCATCTGGGCGTTGAAATTCAAACTCCTTATAGTTTTCGGTGTACACGATACGAAAGTGTTCCCGACACCAAAAGTATAGGTTAATTTATGTGTACGAACTTCAACGTCCACATATCATTAGTTTGCCCTATTTTCTGATTGGTAGCCGAGTTTCATTCGGATTGGTTCGGAAATAGAGCAGACCGAGGTTGACAAAGTTAGTCACCTACGCTTCGGCCGGGTCCGCAAAATCGCCCGTAAACGGGGACCAAATTTTCGCCTCGCGGGAAAGCCCGATTGGCATTGCTAAAATATGACCTTTTTCGTGAAACTTTCATAGGTTAGGCAAAAAAACTGAAAACTTTAGCTACATCATATGCTGAAGTACTTACAACTCATGGGAGCATTGCCGAAGCGCTTTTGTAACTGGTCGTGGTTGAACTTCAGAAAGGCTTCATATTGTTCTGCAAAAAGAGTATTAAAAAATTCTTCATCTCTTACAGATTCAACATCATTTATAGAAATAAAGAAGATGGGGTAAAAAAGGAAATGCGTAACAATACATTACAGCATCAAAAGCCAAGGCTTTTCCCCTCTACTTCAAAGATAAGAAAACAATTGGGAAGTCTGTAGCATCACATTTCTCACTCAACTCAAGTTGTCTCAACAATGTGAGCTTCCTTTTGACGGTAGACTGCTAAAACAAATAATATTGTGGGTGTGAATATTGCTAGTATTGAAGAAAACCAACATTACAGGGGGGGAGGGCATGGTTCAGTAAGTTCAAAAAATGAGAAGAGAACAACACTAGATCTAGATCTAATCAAATTAGACAACAAACACAAGCAGCAAAAAGTGTATACATTCTACCACACGCATATATGAACAGATTTCCAGGTCTAAATTTTTTTCTCCCTTTGTATTCAAAACAAACACATGCATAACATTAACACTTTGCCCCCACGGGATGCTGATCCGCGGTGGTAAGAACACCCCCCCACCCATGGGACGCCGAACGGTGACAGTGTGATAGCAACAAAAATCATTTGTTAAAAATTAAATTTCCCTTCTGAATGGTTTGTGTGGCCCTTGAGGTGAAAAAAATGTCAAGTAGACCAATGTGACTACACCTCAGAGACAGTGGAACATCATCTCTCCTTCTGTAGAAAACTAACCGATTTGAGGGGATGTTTTCTTCCCAAGCTACCCCACATGTGTAACTGTCTCTACACCTCAAGACAACAATTAGAACAAACATGCAGCTATTACAGAATGGCATCATGCAGAAGAGTTAAAGCTCAGATGCTGCTGGATTGTTGACAACTACAACAACAACAACAACAACCTAGGATGGGTGCTGCTTTACTCTTTCTCAAATGCAATGCTGACAATTTAATAATGGTTGGGGTATTTTTGCTGAGATACAGGCATAGTACTGATGTAACCAATCGGTGTCCTGGTCCGTGGGGACGTATATTTTTTGTTGTTGTTTTGGTAAGTGTTTTACCGCGCTAGCAACTGCAGACAAGTGCATGCACTCTATGCACATCGCTGGTTATTTCAATTATTCAATCAGACCCAGAATTTTTTTTCTTCCTTTTTTTAAAATGGAAGTCAGCCAAGGTAGCTCTAATTTGGAATACAACTGAAAATTTCATATATACACCCGAAGCAGACTTGATATGGAGCGAGAGAGAGCAAAAATGGTATGAGTATGAGCATAGGCCAAGGCCATGTTAATTTACGAAACAAGTGTTCAGGTTAGAATTAGAGCTTTCACAATTGCGAGTTTATGTTATGGAGTCTGCAATGGCGAGAAGGCATGTATCCAGTATTGTCATCAAAGAATGTCTACCCAAATCATCCAAAGCAAGTGCTGTTCTCACCTGATAGTTTGTTATTCAGAACCTTGTCGTAATTCTCTCTGATCTTTTCTTCTTGCTCCTGACACATCCTTTCGCAGATCATGGTCACCTGTTTGAACGTGAACAACGGGACATCCCTCTGTTTGGGGGAACATGTGCCAGTAGAGGAGTGAGGGGATGAGGAAGGAAAGCTGTCCACTGAGATGGCGTTGTGTGCCAATATATCCTGTGAGGGCGGGGGGCTCTGTCGGTCGATAGATATTGCGTTGACAGACGGGGGTGGACTGCTGGATGTTGGATAGAACAACTGTCTCCTCCTCTGCATCCTCTTCAGTTCGGATCCAATTCTAGCAGCAATTTCCTCTGTGGATTAAAGCAAATTGATTAATATGCAAAATGTTCCTTTTATAACTGTATTATTCAATTAAATATTCATCTATACTTCTGAAGTAATAAAACAAAAACCAAGCAAGGAAAATGATCTGTCTACAACCAAAAAAGCCTGTGGAGATTTTACCAACTTTCCAAATAAAGTGAAAAAAACTAACACAAGACTTGAAATCAGCAGTGCTGACAGTACAATGACCAATTTGATAAACAAAGTAAACAAAACAAAACAAAAAATTATTCAAGTGACCACAGCCACTCGCTGACATCAGAACTTCAAGAAATCGACCTGCAGTTCAGTAAATGATTTCTGTCCTAGAAAGTAAGAGCAGAAATTCACTAACTGCACTGTTACTGATCACAGCGCTTCAAACGAGAGAGAGAGAAGAGAGAGAGAGAGAGAG